GTGTGTGTGTGTGTGTGTGTGTGTGTGTGAGATTCGTTCTGGATTTTCAAAATTTTGAGCAATCAATTGTTTTCCATTCCCCAGGCTTTTTCTCCTCCGTGACAGCCAGAGTAATCCAAAGGCATTTGTACTCACACTGTGTCATCACCAGAAAATTAAAAATTTCCAGATTTTACCAGTAAGTATTGACATCTTCAGACCATGCCTTATGTGTGTGTTGTTTTGGTTTCATTCTTAATGCAGTTTTCACGAGGCAGCCGTGGGCCTCGTGGTTAGCTCTTGTGATCGAAAGGAGGCAGCATGCTACGACAAACAGGCATGCCGTCACTGGCTTCCTGGCGTGTTCTGATGCACCCACTTTACAGAGGAGGAAAGTGAAGCGAACAGCCTGCAGCACCTTGCTTTGCACCAGTCTGGGGAAAGGCGCCAAGTCCAGGGCTGAGCCCAGGCTTTCCAGGCATCATGTGCAAACAGAAATTACTATTCAAGGAAAAGCGGCACGTTCACAACCCTTTGTGTTTCCTACTGCAGTATATTCTTGTCCCAGGAATTGTAGTTCTAGCTTAAAACATAAAACAGAAATGTATTTTGTGGTGGGCAGAGTAGGTGATGCTGTTCTTCCCAGTAACCCCCAGTCCTACAGTGTAGAAAAGTAACGTGGGACTGAACCACAAAATCTCGCAGCACGTGAAAGCAAGCAGTGGGAGGTACGCTTGGCTGTAGCCATGGCTTTAGAGCCAAGTCGTTCTACATCCGCTCATCAGCCAAGGCTAAAAGCTGACACATTCCATGTGAGCAGGCGGGGTGATTGTCTCATTCTGCACTGTAGGGCAGTCATCGAGTGTAAACTCACGGAGTTCAGGGAGACAGGAGGAATGTCGTTCCTGCTCGGCCACAGTGTGGCATTCCTCCTTTTAGTAAAAAGAGCTGCCACATATTCCAGGCCCTAAAAGAGATGCATTGCCTGCATAATCTTGTTGATCCCTCATAGTAATCTAGCAGTTGCTTCCTCATGAAAGCAAAGTGAACCTTGCAGCCTTGCAGAGGCAGCCTGAGGTTATGTAGCAAAGATCCAGGTCTATGCACCCTCTGTGGGGCATGCAGTGTGTGGTGAGAACTTATGCGTGACCTAGTGCACTTAATTCCCATGAGCCAGGTGAGCTGGGAGCCACTTACAACTCTTCTCGTCAACCACCTCAGGGGAGCTGGAGAGCCAGCCGTCCCAGCAGTCTCCACTACCACCCAGCACTCATCACTCACTCAGGGCATGGCAGCCCCAGCATAAACACTCTGCTCCCGACTTTCCCACCCCTCGTCTTTCCTAGCCCACCTTGCTGACTCCAGGTGTGTCCCGGAAGAACCAAACCGTGGGCAGCCAAAGCTTCTGCTGACCACAGCCCTGCTTTGTCCATGGAGGTCAGGATTTCTAACCGAGCAAGTGTTCTTGTGTCTCTCCAGTGTGAGGACGATGGGCAGACGTTCTTCAGCCTGGATGACGGGAACACCAAATTCTCCGACCTGATCCAGCTGGTCGACTTCTACCAGCTGAACAAAGGAGTCCTGCCTTGCAAACTCAAGCACCACTGTATCCGAGTGGCCTTATGACCTCAGATGTGCTCTCAGCTGAAGCCTGGAGGAAGCTAACACTGGAATGAAGAAGAGGTCTGTACATTGGTGAAGAGTAAACGTCTGTCTGCACCCGGGGACTCGGAGGGAGACGGTTTGTTTGGTGCCGATCGACCAAGGTTGACTTGTGTTTGGACTTAATAACAATTTGTTGCTGAGGAAACAGCAGGACCGCCTCCCTCCGTGTCTGCCAAATTGGGGAGGGCACAGAAGATCCAGCGCAAATTTGAGAATAAACTGGAATGATCATCTTGGCTGGGCCACTTCGGAACAAGAACCAGACAGAAGTGATTGGAAGTGAACTCTTGCCCTGGAATAATCTTGACAATTAAAACTGATATGTTTACTTTTTTGTATTGATCACTTTTTTGCACTCCTTCTTTGTTTTCAATATTGTACTCAGCCTATGAGAGGAGGGAAATGTGGCTTTTCAACTCATGTAAGACAAAGAGTTTCATGTGGGCAGACTTCAGACCGAATGCGAGTCCCCAAGTGTTTCCAGAGGGTGATCACACTCTCTGCCGTGACCACAGTGAGGACTCAGCTCCCATGTTACAAATCACCCGGCCCTTCCCAGTATACTTGAAAAGCTTTTTGTTAAAATAAAAGGTGTCAGCTGTGGCAGGCATTTGGCATGTTTTGTGGACTCAGCCAAGCAACCACAGTCTGTTCCTCGTTTCTCTATGCTCAAATGTCAGAACCTTTTGTTATTAGCGTGTCTTGTCCTCCACGGTGCAGGAGACTATTTCTTTGGAAAATTCACTGTCCCATAACATAGCAGGACTGACCGGCCTCACCTCTAGATGGACATGGGCCAGCCTTCTGGAGATACTCCTGGCTCCCGCTGTCTGCCAGCAGCGGGTGCCGCGTAGTCCATCTGGGGTGCTTACAGCCTTCAGCCTGTTCTAGAATGATCACTGCCTTAGCCCTGCCACAGGGGCGTGAGTCGTTTCACGGCTGACGTCCCTTGGGGAATCCAAGGATCTGAAAAGAAAACGGCACCTAGTTAGCTTTGTGGCTGTGTCCCAGGGGTTTCCATGGCAACAAAGACAAGGAACCGTTGCAGTAGGGCACAGGCTGCCATTTGAAGATCTTGCTTGATGACCTCCATCCTGCTGAAAACCCCGTGAGCCAGTGCAGACAGAGCAGTGAGAGGCTCCCCTCTGCTGGCTTAGGGTCAGAAGTACCTCACGGTAGCTGTGGACACAAAAGAGAGTTTTAGCAACACAACCCTTGCTTCCCACTCTGGGATGTGTGTCAGATCGTGGCTTGAGTCGTCCCTTGGTCCCCTCTGTTCTGCAGGCGGCACCCTTTGTCACGTCCCCTTAGTTCAGTTTTCAGGTGTGAGAGTGGCCATTGCTATACCTTTGACCCCCCTGCAAAGCAGAAAGGACTCCCTCGACAAGCACACAGACTACTGTGGTGAGAACATGACTTCCTTTTCCAAGACAGTGCCTGGCGGGCTCCTCTCAATCTGTGCCAGCCACTAGACAGCCCAAAACCCAACTCACTGAAGTGCTCCACTCCTCAGTTGACCTCCATGGTTTGGGGGAGACGCATCTTGAGTCTCGGTCGGGCTCATCCGCTGGAAGTCAGTCTGCGGGATGGAAACACACTGCATTGTGGTTTACACTCTAGTTGTGTTCCCTGGAAGGTCTACTGACACCAGCGGAGAATCTTCTCACTAAGCGTGTTTTTGAGCATAAATGCTCAACTGCATCTTCTCCCTTATGCAGCCAGTTAATCTTTCGAATCATTGACAGTGAGGTAACTCCCAAGTTCACACCTGGCAGCACGCTTCACTGAGCGTCCCTGTAGGGACGGACACTGCAGTTAGACCACAAGACCTTTCTCTTCACTGGCTTGAGGTAGAGCTTTCCCTAGGAAACACAGCACTAGGGTCTTTTTTCCAGTGTCCGTAGACCAGTCCCACCAGTGTCTAATCCCTCTCTCACACCTCTCTCCAGTAGTCAGCTAGTATTTGCAGTATTTCATATTTATAAGTATGTGTTTATTTAAAAGGAGAACAAAAGCTTGACTCTGATTCACAGTTTTGTATGTAGCCGGTTTGACGTAGTCTTTTGTACTTTCCCAGCCGAAGTGAATTGTTGGAGAATGTAACCGCCTGCGTGCAGCGGCAGACATCCCCAGGCCCAACTCACGGCCTCGGCCAGGCAGCTGGGAATTCCACCTGAACACAAGGAGTCCCGCAGACTGGGGCCGGAAGGACATTTGACTTTTATTTTTGTATTTAATTGACATGAATGTAGAGGGGACAGCTCAAGGTTGTTTTGAAGCCTGTTGACTTTGTATCTCTGCCTGTGATTTTCTTTCCTACACGAAAACTCCATGTAGCAACCGGGACGAAGTTGAGAAGGAAAACGCCAAACGCTTTGGTTATTAGAAGTTAATAGGTAAGCTCTGTTACATTAGGTGTTAGAGTTCCAGAATGTTCTTTTGTTTGCTAAACCTTGAAGAAACATGTGCCTCAGCCTAGATGTTTTGTCTTCTCTTTTCTGCACTTAATACCTGACGGTGTGACTGATGGCTGCGCCTTCCTGGGGGCGGGATGAGCCGATGGTAGATTTGTGATGTCACAGTACAAGCGGCAGTGACTGTCAATGGCCTGGCGTGTAAACGTTTTCAGGGAATGCAGAAGGTATTAATCAAGAGACAAAACCTTTACCCCATGTGCTTTGCTTCATTCTGTACATAGCTCTTTGGCTCGTGAACCTAATTGTAAACTTTCAGGTATTTTTGTACAAATAAGGGACTGATGTTCTGTTTCTTGTCATTAAAAATAAACATTAATACAGGTTCTACATTTTTCTATTGCTTGTCATGTCTGTGTCGATATTTTGAAACACTTGGGCTGGTCATCCACTACACACCTTTGGAAATGACTTAGGGTATTAATGGCGACTTTTACTCCCAGCTAGAAACTAGCACAGGGAATTGAGAGCTGTTCATACACAAGCACGCTCAACCCTAGTGAAACACCAGAGTCTCAGCTGGCCCTCCTCGTTCTTTCTCTGCCCCCGCAGGAATCACAGATCTCAGAAGGTGTCAGAGGCAGTCAGATATCCACACAGGTTTAACAGAGACCTCAAGAAACTCATAAACGGTTGCCACTGACGAGCACGATTGGCGTTTTTTCCACTGCAGTGCAACAATTGAAATGTCAGGAAACTGGGTTTTCTGGGTCAAACAGTAAGTTGGCAGAGTAAGAGAATGGCTGCCATTGCTTCCCTGAACCCATGCCTGGGGGACCCTGATGGACCTACTGACCTGACACTTGGGCCTGACTCTCCACCTTACATCAGGACCCTTCCCACCCCAGTCGACCAGAGTGTGTGTGCAAATTGTCACATGCCAGCCAGATCGCTTAGCAGGAAGACCTCTAGTATGTGGAATTCGCCCGTCATTTGTTTTCAGAATCTGAACTCTGTTTCTGGTAGCTCACCCCAAGCAGGCAAGCAGACTCTCAAGAAAGAAAAAAATGAGATCATAACTCTCTCATCTTGATCTACACCAGTCTCTAAAACAACACATTTCTATGGCACGGAGAGCCCAGGGTGGGTGAGTAACAATGGGGCCAGCATCTAAACTGCAGGCGGTGATGGCAATGCCAGAGAAGACTGTCCAAGGAGTCCCACAGATCAGCTGATGGAATTTAGACAGGATGCTCAGAGCAGTGTTAAATAAGTTAATCTCACTGCCTCTGTCACGTTCTTAGTGGGTCTGTACAGCATATTCTGAGTGATTCGTAAAATATGAATGGATTTTTTAAATGATGAAAGTATTAGCTTGTTGTTAGGGTCACACTCCCAGTGGGGCCTCCGGGGTCAGGACCGCTAGGAGTGTGGATGTCTGGTGTGCGATCTGATGCCACGTGAAAGATGCAAAGAATTGCACAGAAGTTAGATTAGAAAATATTTAGAAAGTAAATCAGAAAAGCGAGAGAGAGAAAAAGAGATTCGCCTCCTCAAGGTAGGGGAGGGGGCCAAAACTTAAAACATGGCCTGGCCATAGCTCAAAGAGCAAATGGGCACACACCATAACTTAGCAAGTCAATGACCTGGCACTGTAGACTAGTTGCTCGTGGTTGAATGTTTTTGAACATTGCCCTTTGACGGGAGAAGGTCATTAAGATGATTGGGGGGTGGTCTGCCCCACGTCATCACAAAGGGGCAGGTAAGTGCAGGTACTGATGTCAGGTGATGGGCAGCAGGTAGAGAGGTGGATTAGTCATGTGGTCGCTGCCATGGTGGTGGGGTCTGTGTGTCATGCAGGTCAGGAAGGGCTGATTAGGTTAACGTGAGTCTTATGGGTGGAGGCAAATACTTGAAATAAAAAAGCTAATTAGTACAAAAAGCTGGGGAGGAGAGTTGTAAAACAATTATTCAGTGACTACCTCTGAGGATCCAGTTCTGTCCTTGGCTAGTGATTAGAGGGGAAGTGAACCACTAGAAAAACATGAGATTTAGGCAATGTTAAAATGGCAGCTCACTGGGTATATTAAATCCATGTTATGTCCTTTCACTTGTCAAATGTTAAAAAGTGAAATATTCTTCCGGTTTTGGAATGGTAAATTCAGTCTTGCCCCTTTTCATCTTGGAAGCAGGAAACAAAAATAAAAAATCTGTCTTTGACAAAGTTGGACTTTATCTGCCATTCCCAGCCCCACCTACCAGATGGGCCCCTCAGGAGGCCTGCAGAGACCAAGCAAAGAGAAGGACAGAGCGACAGAGGGCATCCATGATTACAGGTCTCACTACAGGCAGCAGAGGGCACTTCCAACTGAGTGGCACACCCCAAGGGGAAGCCTGATCCTTCAGGGAATGGAGCTGCTCTCCTTCCTGCTGCTGCTGTGTGGACATCACTGCAGGATGGCTTCATTTCCCCATACACAACTTTTCAGAGCCATGGCCTTCTTGTCTATTCCCCAAGCTCTGCTTCAAAGGATTTCTTGGTGGTTTTGTTTAGGTTCATGGTATTATGTTTGGTTGTAATTTTAATCTACTCATGGAAAGTTTTTCTAGTGGATACCTCTTCCTTCCATTTTTTCCTATTATTTTCCCCTTTTACCTTGGGGTATCTTCATATAAGATCGGTGCTGGTTCTTTGAAAGAGGTGAGTTCTTGGGCTAGCCATTTATAGGAAGTTTGTGTAGGGAAGACAACAGGGAAGACTGTGTTTGATGCTAGCGGGACAAAATTAATAAACCCTGTGTCAAAAGACCAAGTATGAAGTTTTCGAGAACTTGACAACATCAGCCATTAAGACTGATCATTCATTCAATTCCTCCCCGCCTGTGGTCACATTCAACCTCACACACCTTCCAGACAAATCTCCTGAAGTGACATCTGATAAATTCATAATAGAATCACGTTTTTCCCTTGGTTTTTCTATTGCAGATTAGTAAAATGTCATTTTGAGCAACTATGGAGTTTGTTTTCTGGAATAAAAGCGATGTCAAGTTCTCTTGGAAAATCATCTCTGCGGGAACTGTCTATTCGCACATGTGCACACATGTGTCTCTGAGCATGGTACACATGCTGGCAAGAGGGCAGAGGTGAACACCGAGTCCCGCTGGAGAGTCATCTAGAAGGGTCGTGAGGACGGATGTGAAGGTGACGTGGACACAAGCAGGCAGAGAATGTGCACCTTGGCCAAGAGTGTTC